TGTTCTCCCAGTCCCACTCATTCCACTTCTGTCTATGCGTCAAGGTCAGTCAAATTGCAATTCCCGTGGGAATCCACAAGTCCACAAATAAGGAAAAACAACCCCCAGTAGTTGTAAATTTCCAAGATTCCTCTAGAGGGAGTTTAAATGTATCTTGCAAAAAAGGTAGTTGTTGTTCATGCAAAGTTTCCAAATTGTTCCAAATACCCTTAAAAGTTGGTGACAGTATCAAACAGCTTCAAAGTCTCAAAAGTCCTCCAGATTTTTTGGCCTTAGCAGAGTTAATCTTAAGTTACTTACACTGTCTCTAAAAAGTGCCAGTTTCAATACAGCAAGTCAGTTGCAATACAATGTAACAGTCCAATGTAACAAAGACAGTCAGTCTGAAATTTCCAATAGTCTGGCAGCCCGACTGCCTAGGTTTCTTGAAGAAATTTTTTATAAATCCACAGAGGAAGAGGAAAAAAAATAATAAGAAGAAGAAGAGTTTGGATTTGATATCCCGCCTTTCACTCCCTTTAAGGAGTCTCAGAGCGGCTAACATTCTCCTTTCCCTTCCTCCCCCACAACAAACACTCTGTGAGGTGAGTGGGGCTGAGAGACTTCAAAGAAGTGTGACTGGCCCAAGGTCACCCAGCAGCTGCATGTGGAGGAGCGGAGACTCGAACCCGGTTTCCCAGATTATGAGACTACCGCTCTTAACCACTACACCACACTGGAGAATACCCACCAGTATAAAATAAAGTCCACAAATATAAAAGGTATAAAACAGTTCAATTGTTGCCCAGATTATTTCCTTTTAAAAGTCTCAATTTCAAAGGCATTAGAAGTTTCCGTCCTTGCTTTGATCTTTAAACAGTGCCGGGAGACGGACTTCCTGGTTGCGTCTCCCGCTTCAGTGCCGAATTTCAAAAGAATTTGGACCCGATAATCAAACTTCACTTACTCACGGGAAGTTATCTTTAAAGCTGAATGGTCCCAGGAAAAGGGTCAGCGCTCACCGACAGCAGCTTAGCGGCTTCACTCCTCAGAAAGAGCGATCGACTCACAGCACTGCGCCAGCCCTTCCACGCTCCGGAGCCCCTTACGGGGTTCCTTTGACGTTTCGGGGGTGCTCCAGGTGCCCGCCGAGTCCCACGGCCACAGGCTATCGCTGCCTGTGGTTTTCCGACCTGGGTCTCCGCTTCGCCGTAGCGGACGACCCATTTCTGCAGGAGCTTCCCCTTCACAAAGTAAAGAGGACCGCCATTGCCGTTCGCGCCGCCCCCGGAAGTCCAATCACAAGGCCATTTTCCCAGCGTGACACTCACCTGGTCCATGGGAGATGATGAATTGGGCAGGAGTTTGGGACCCATCTTCCGTTAGCTGCATAGACTCAGGATCCGGTCACTGTGTGCTTTCTCCAACTCCACTGATTCCCTCATAGATTTGGGGGCATTTGGGGACAGCACTCCATTGCTTTCTCTTCCTCGGCCTTCATTGGTTCATTGGCTGAAATGTCAATTTGCTCGGAGCCCCCCACTCCACCCCCTTTTAAATCCTTTCCCCCCTGGATGCGAAAGGACAGTAAGGGGGGGGCAGCTATCTCAGCAAGAAGTCCCATTCCTTCCAAAGGTAAGCAAAACAAGCCCCCCAGCTCCAAGGCTTTCTGTGCCTACTGGTGGAACCAAAGCCTTTTGCCTTCCACCCCTGGCAACCCCCCAGAATGGCTCCTTGATGGCCTCCCTGCTAGCAGGGCAGCCAGAGCAAGAGGCCTTCAAGAGCAGGTGTCCCTCTTTGCAGGTGAACGTCCCTCTCCTGATAGGCTGGAGGAACCGGATGCTACCTATTTTAAGGCCCGCCCTAGTCTTCTGACTGTAAGTTGTTCTAACTTATTTCAAGGTTGCATTTTTATATTGTTGTAACCTCCCCTCAGACCGTGTGGTGAAGGAAATAAATTTCACAAAGCTTGCCAAAATATACAAGTCAAAATCCAATCTTTGTTGGAAATGTAAGGAGGCAGAGGGTACTGTGATGCACTCATGGTGGGGCTGCGGAAGAGTTAAAAATTTGGGGGGGTTGCATTCATGAGGAATTTTAAAAGATGCTCAAAATCTCTATAGGAAAAAACCCAGAGGAAGTCACATGGGTGTAGGAAATTTTAATGTTTTGTATGTTTAAGTAGGTTGTTCTTCAACGTGTCTATTATTTTTTCTTGGTATGTAGATTTATTGTGTTTTTGTTTGTATGTATGGAAACAAATGTTTTTTAAAAAAAAGAAAAGAAAAAGAAATTTAACAAAAAACAGCCAAAACCAATAGGGACTCAGACATCTTGTTTAATAATAGCACTGGGGGGGGGGGCAATAAAACAAGTCTGTTTCTACAAAAGAAAAAGGGAAAGTTTAAACAGTAGTACCCAGTTGCATCAAAGGTGTGTAAAATAATCCCTGATAACGGAATCTAGAAGCAAACTCATCCTCTCAGAAGCCTCCCATTTGGGCACCTCAAGGGAGACGTGAAAGAGCCTCAGAGGGCAGCCAGGGGGCTTCTGCACCACCTCAGGCGGCTTTCGGGGAGCAAGTGTCAAGTGGGTGGGGTGACGGGTATGGGGCCTTCAGCTGCTGCAGCCTGGAGGCCACGAATTCACCCCCAAGCGGCCTCTGGCTGAGGAGAATTCTGCCCCTCAGGCCTGGAGGTCAGGCATTGGCATGCTCCGAGAAGCTTCCAGAGACTGGAAGCTAAGTCCCATTGATTTATGAAAGTGTGGGGTAATTTGTCTAAGAGATTGATAACCCCAATAAATTACTTTGTTCTTAGATCAGGGCGTACAAGACTTCCTGCACACTGAGTACAGAAGAGTGACCAACTCAAGCCAAAGCCGGAACACATCTTTTTCTGCAGTTTGCTCAGCATGCTGCACTCTGGGCAACCAACACAGCCCACCAGGCTAACTTCAGTGAGCCTGGCAGGACTGCAGCTCAGACACATGAATGGTTTGCCACAAGCACGGGAGGTAAAGTGACAATGCCCCCCTTGAGCAGTTGTGTCATGCAGTTTTTAAATGCAGAACAGAAGCACATGGCGAGACATTGCGAGAAAAGGAAGCAGCTGTTCTCACGATAGGAACACGAGAAGCTGCCTTGTACCGAGTCAGACCATTGGTCCATCCAGCTCAGTATTGTCTGCACTGGTCGGCAGCCCCTTTCCCTGGTTCTAGGCAGGATTCTCTCCCACCTGGAGATGTCAGGGGCTGAACCTGGGAGTTTCCGTATGCAAGCAGATGCTTTCCTACTGACCTTTCCTTTTCATTACTGTATTTGAAATATTTATATAACCAGGTTCTTGGACCGCTTACAACAAGGATAAAAACACATGAAAAATTACATATGCAGTTGTACCTTGGATGTTGAATGGCTTAGTTGCCGGATGTTTCAGCTCCCAAACGTCAAAAACCCAGAAATGAGTGTTTCAGTTTTTGAACGTTTTTGGGAAGCCAAACATCCGACGCAGCTTCCGCTTGAGTGCTGAAAGCTCCTGCAGCCAATCAGAAGCTGCACCTTGGTTTTTGAACGGTTCCAGGAGTCAAACAGACTCCCAGGACAGATTAAATTCAACAACCAAGGTATAACTGTAATAAAGAAAGCATATGTACTCTTTCCCCTTAACAAATAAATTGATTGTATTTACCTTTTCACAGCAGGTTAAGAGACTGCCCTATTAAAAACCATTTTCTTCCTTTTAAATTTTTAGACCAGCCTTTATTCCTTAGATCTGAGAATTAGCAGTTCCTCCTTCTGTTATATAACCCAGTTATATAAATATAAAGTTTTATAATTCTTTTCTAGAAGTGAAAGCTGCTGATAAACATCTTTCCCATTCCCATTCCCACTTCCATATGTGATTCACTTTCATTAATCATCTGCAAATGCTGCACAGTAAACTTGTCCTATCCATGCTTCCATATATCTTGTATTCCCATAAAATTAAAAAACAAAAACATTAATAGGACATTTTAAGTCTGTGACTATAAAGAGGAAGTTGTGTGAAACTTATGGCTGTAAATAAAAAGAGATGCTTATTGCCATTTCTATAGTCGACCTGTTTTGTTATAACAGTTATAGACTTCTGAAAAATGCCTTAGGGCTCCTGCGTTCGAATCCTGCTTGTGGTTTTCCCTCAGGCATTTAGTTGGCTGCTGTGAGAACAGGATGCTGGAATACTTGGTCCATTGGTCTGATCCAAGAAGCTCTTCAACAGCTTAACCCAGTTGGTTAGAGCACAGTGCTGGTAACGCCAAGGTGGCAGGTTCGGTCCCTGCATTGGCAGGGGTTGGACTATAACACTATATGATCCTCAGGGTCCCTTCCAACTCTACACTTCTATGATTCTTACGTTCTCATGCTACCCTGGTGCCAGCCAGGTGTGTCCACCCAGTTTCCTCAAGTACTTGAGGAATTGCAGACTTTCGTCATAGGATTACGGCTGATGGGCAGCAAAAAGCCTCGCCCACTGCAGCTCTCGGATGGGATAGCTAGTATAACTTGGCAGGGGGTTGGACTCGATGGCCCTTGTGGTCTAACTCTATTCCAACTCTATGATTCTATGACTTGTCTTTTTATGCTGTGAACTGTCCAGAGATCTTCTGACAAAGGGCAGAATACACCTTTAAATCTCTGTGGTGCAATAGTTCAGTGTGTCTGTTCAGCAGAAGGCTGGGGGTTTGAGCCCCCCCCCAGGGACAGCTGTGGGCAGGATCCCTGCACTGCAAGGGGTTGGACTAGAGGACCCTGGGGGGTCCCTCCCAACTCAGAAGGACAAGTCTGCTGCTCCTCCCTTGATAAGTACACACGGTTGCTTGTCCACTGGATAGCAAATAATTAGCTAATTAGCTTGCAAACCTTTCCTGTTCAACTGCTGGTGCTTCCTCACGCAGGTTGTTAAGCAACAATCCCCACCCCCGCAAAAAAAGGGAGAAAAATACTGAATTTGGCAAGTTGAAATCTTCGTGTCTTTGTGAGTTGGCCTAATGAAAACATGGTCCTACTTTCCCTTTCGGAGTGGGCGGACACAGAAATGAATGAGGGGGGGGAGGGGGAGGCTGCTTGTTTGCAGCCAATCAGAAGCTTCCTTCTAAGCTTTCCCAGGCAGTTAAAAAACAGAGCTTTGCATTTGGTGCTCCGAGAAGCGCAGGAAGGAGCCCCGGGCAGAGCTCTTCCGCAGGAGCGAAACCTCGGCCCCTTTCGCAGCAGATCTTCTCCTTTCAAGGCCGGCAGAGCCTTTCCCGGGAGGAGCTCCAGCGCCTCCTGCTGGGCTTGGCCTGCTTGTGCGCCACGCTCAAAAACTTCGGTTAGAGACACCTTTTCTCAGCTGGCAGCTCAGCGTGCAGCCCACTTACTAAAACAAGAAGCAGGAAAGAAGGAAAGCATTCCTGGTTGTCCTGGTAAGAGAACTTTCATTGGGAAAATACTTGTGAATTGAAATAGCACAGTGAATTTGATCATGCTTCGTGCCTGCATTGGGTTACCCATGCCAGACTGTTTGTGCTAGCAAGTACAGTGGTACCTCGGGTTACATACGCTTCAGGTTACAGACTCCGCTAACCCAGAAATATTACATCGGGTTAAGAACCTTGCTTCAGGATGAGAACAGAAATCGTGCTCTGGCGGCAGCAGGAGGCCTCATTAGTTAAAGTAGTGCTTCAGGTTAAGAACAGTTTCAGGTTCAGAATGGACCTCCGGAACGAATTAAGTACTTAACCCGAGGTACCACTGCACTTACTCATTTGTGCATGTGAATGATCTCTGTGGTGTATGGGGTAGCACCTCTGGTGGGGGACACGTTGTGCTCCTTCTGGGGTAGTTTGTCCACCTTTTGGACCCCACCCTGCACTCAGCTCTCCCCTGTGGTTCCTAGAAGCTGTTGGCAGGTGACAGCGGCCACATTCCCAGGAATGACTTTGACTGGCCATCGGATCAAGGCCTCCAACTGGTCTCAAATCCTCAGTGAGTCAGGGACTTCCTCTGCATGCAGAGACAGAGTCGGGCAGATTGAGCAGACGAGACCCAGAGTGGGTCCAACAATCAAGAAGGCAATTTCTGTAGAGGAAAGCGAGGGGCAGATGGGGCTCAAGGGAGTCCACCTAGGAGAAGGCAAACTCTGGTGCCTTGTGGGAAAAGGCTAAGGAGTAAAGCCTACACAAATCTGGAGTCGAGTCCCTAAGACGGTTGGATGTCTCCTGTATGCCTCCTTCCAGCAACACCTGCAGCCAAGCTGGTGCTCTGCTTTCCTTTGGACCCCATCCGTGAGGCCAAGAGGGGGGTCTTCTCATCTGGGCAGCCCAGGACCTCCATGCACATGGCCCAGGCTTGTGCCCCGGGGGAGAGGTCATTTTGGCACCGCTCACACAGCGCTATGACTTCACACCCCGAGGTGAGAATCCCTGATCTGGTGGTGGGACTTTAAAGGTAAAGGTAAAGGGACCCCTGACCATTAGGTCCAGTCATGGCCGATTCTGGGGTTGCGGCACTCATCTCGCTTTATTGGCCAAGGGAGCCAGCGTACAGCTTCCGGGTCATGTGGCCAGCATGACTAAGGTTCTGGCGAACCAGAGCAGCACACGGAAACGCCGTTTACCTTCCCGCCAGAGCAGTACCTATTTATCTACTTGCACTTGGACGTGCTTTCGAACTGCTAGGTTGGCAGGAGCAGGGACCGAGCAACGGGAGCTCACCCCGTCACGGGGATTCGAACTGCCGACCTTCTGATCAACAAGCCCTAGGCTCTGTGGTTTAACCCACAGCGCCAGCCACCTTTTAAAGCCCTAAAATAAATTTGTCTGTTCGACCACCCCCAGTCACCATTGCTGCAAATTCCATAAGTTATGTGCAATGTGAAGAAGGATTGTTGTACCTCGCTGTTGCTACATGTAAGGGTTTTTTTTTAATGTACAAAGGTTAGGAAGCTTCTTACTTTGTTTAACAGAGTCCAAGGGTCTCTGTTGGAGAGTTTTGCAGTAGAATTTTCAAGTGGGACCTGTTATCAAAATAGGATCTCCCTGAGAAGAAAATAATAAAACTCTTGTTTGCTGCCAACTTTTGTCGTTCAGCTGACAAACTCCTAGAGGACTACATCCAGAATTCTGATTTAAGGCGATGCATGCACAGTAGCTTACCTGCAAAACTCAATCTAAATGTTCTGTTCTTTGTCATTGTTGATTCTTGTTATTACTATCCTCTTACAGATGCACAATGTCGGCTGAAAATAAGCAACAGCCTCTTAAGAAGCCAGCATTCAGCAAAAAGCAAGCCACTGAATTGGTCCAAAAGATATTCGGATTAACGGTCTTGGAGCTCAAACCGTTGCCGAGCTATGATGATCAGAATTTCTATGTGTGTGCTTCGGCTGCACATGAAGGGAAAGCAAAGAGCGCCCAGAATTTTGTCCTCAAAATAATCAATTGTGAAGACAGTCAGAACACTGAACTCATTGAGGTGCAGACCCAGGTCATGATATTCCTGAATGGCGAGGGCTTTCCCGTGCAAACTCCTCATTCCACGAAAGAGGGTGGAATAATGTTTCTGGAATCCGTAGGTGAGGGGGTGGAACATGCATCCAACATTGCTATTCTGCTGGTGCCAGATCCCATCTAGTCCAGCAGGAGACCAGCTGCCTTTGAGCAGCTCACAAGCAGAACAGGAGGGCAGCTGCAGTCTCCCTGCTTGTGATCCCATACCCTCCAACATTTCTCTGATGAAAATAGGCGTGTCCTATACAACAACAATTTTAATATTTATACCTTGCCCATCTGGCTGGGTTGCTCCAGCCGCTCTGAGAAGCTTCCAACATGTATGAAAACCTTATAAAACATTAAACGTTATAAAATCTCCCTATAGAGGGCTGCCTTCAGATGTCTTCTAAGGGTTGTACAGTTATTTATTTTCTTGATGCCAACATTTCTCCAATTAAAATAGGGACGTCGTAACAAAAAGCAGGACATTCCAGGATCAAATCAGAAACTGGGTGCCTTCTGTAAATCCAGAACTGTCCCTGGAAAATAGGAGTGTGATTGTATTGCATTTATTTTTTGAAACTCTTATTTCTATTTTGATAATTTTATTATTACTGTTTTTAAAGTCAGTTTTTTTATTGCTGTGATATCCTTTTGTGTAAACAACTTAGAGCTCTTCTGTATGTGAATGTTGCTGAATAAAATTGAATCTCTTTGCTTCTTAGATACTGGCTCTGCCAAAAGAGCATATATAGTGCGGCTGTTGAGCTACCTCCCAGGCAAAACAGTGGCCACGATCCACATGAGTCCTCCTCTTCTGTATGAACTTGGGCGGATGGCAGCCAGGATGGACAAAACACTCACAGAGGTGAGATTTTGGAATATGCCTTAGTTTTAGGTGAGCCCCGTAACTAAGACTAGCTGCTATTTTAATTTCCAGCAATGCCATGGAGTAAGCCAGCAGTTTGGGTGCCGGGGGGGGGTCAACCTGGGATTTGGGTGGGCTAAACATTTTTTGTTGACTTTATATCGCTTTTATGTGCGTCTGCTGGTGCCAATCTGTAACCATTAGGCAATGTGAGATATTTGGCTCCAAAACAAACTGGGCCAAAACAAACAAGATGAACTTTAACAGGGAGAAATGTAAAGTATTGCACTTGGGCAAAAAAAATGAGAGGCACAAATACAAGATGGGGGACACCTGGCTTGAGAGCAGTACATGTGAAAAGGATCTAGGAGTCTTGGTTGACCACAAACTTGACATGAGCCAACAGTGTGACGCGGCAGCTAAAAAAGCCAATGCAATTCTGGGCTGCATCAATAGGAGTATAGCATCTAGATCAAGGGAAGTAATAGTGCCACTGTATTCTGCTCTGGTCAGACCTCACCTGGAGTACTGTGTCCAGTTCTGGGCACCACAGTTCAAGAAGGACACTGACAAACTGGAACGTGTCCAGAGGAGGGCAACCAAAATGGTCAAAGGCCTGGAAACGATGCCTTATGTGGAACGGCTAAGGGAGCTGGGCATGTTTAGCCTGGAGAAGAGGAGGTTAAGGGGTGATATGATAGCCATGTTCAAATATATAAAAGGATGTCACATAGAGGAGGGAGAAAGGTTGTTTTCTGCTGCTCCAGAGAAGCGGACACGGAGCAATGGATCCAAACTACAAGAAAGAAGATTCCACCTAAACATTAGGAAGAACTTCCTGACAGTAAGAGCTGTTTGACAGTGGAATTTGCTGCCAAGGAGTGTGGTGGAGTCTCCTTCTTTGGAGGTCTTTAAGCAGAGGCTTGACAACCATATGTCAGGAGTGCTCTGATGGTGTTTCCTGCTTGGCAGGGGGTTGGACTCGATGGCCCTTGTGGTCTCTTCCAACTCTATGATTCTATGATTCTATGTTTGGGTAATGGAGAAAGCTGAAAACGCTCACATGGGGGTGGGGGGAGGGGAAGATGCAGAAGGTCTGGGGTTCAGTGCCCCCCAGTATTTCCAGGTTGGAAGGCGTAAGGCCTCTGCCTGAAACTCTGGACAGCCACTGATCTGGGAAGATAGAAGCCATCACAGCAACACTGCCCATATATGCCCTCAGCAATTTTGTTTTGTTTTTAATTGAAACAATGTATTCCTGTGTCCCCCCCCCTCCTCCGCCACCCAAAAGAAATTCCAGCATCCATTGGCGAGAAGTCTCCACCGAGGTGGCTTCATCTGGAATCTGGCTAATGTCCCTCTCCTGGAGCAATACATTCATGCGCTGGGCCGGAGTGAATATCTGGACGCAGTGAAATGGGCCATTGATCAGTTCAGGCGTAAAATAGTCCCAAACCTACACTCCTTTCGGCCCTGTAAGTATCTTTTTAAAGAAATGCACAGTAATATACAGTCATACTTCGGGTTGCGATCGCTGCGAGTTGCACGTTTTTGGGTTATGGAAACACTGAACCCAGAAGTACCGGAACAGGTTACTTCCGGGTTTTGGCGCATGCGCAGAAGCGCTGAATTGCGTCATGCACAGTCGCAGTGCTGTGGGTTGTGAACGTACTTCCCGCACAGATCACGTTTGCAACCCGAGGTTCCACTGTAGTTGTTGTTATTTGCAGAGGTATACCTTGGCAAGGAGCTGTACCAGCACCCCCCCCCAGAAAAAGCCCACTTTACGAGAAGGTGCGAGAAGGATGGGAAGCTCCTCTTGCAGTTGATCTCACTGCGACATCGGCATTGTCTGCACACACATATTGGTCATGCATTCCATAGTCTGATAGGTAATTTATGCGGGGGGGGCATGGCTTGTGCCCCTGGTGGGGGCTGGTTTCACCGTCCCTAGGTGTGCCTCTGACTATTTGATTTTAATTTTGGTAAGTGTTTTTTATGTGCCTGAGGGAGGTGGGGTGGGGAGAGAGATGCGTCATGCATGTGGGAGCTCTAACTTTCCTGTGACGCGGTAGTGCTCAGTTGTATATTAGGCCCCAAATTAGATTAAAATAGTGAGCCTTAAAGTACATGCACCACTGAACTCTGGATAACTGATTTCTGCAGAGTCATGCATCAAATTGCATTGTAAGGCAGGGCACACCGTATATTATTCTAAACAGATCACTCCCTCCCTTTCCAATGTTCAGGCCAATACTTTTCCAGTCAAAACAACATCAACATAAGAAGACCCTGCTGGATCAGGCCAGTGGCCCATCTAGGCCAGCATCCTCTTCTCAGTGGCCAACCAGATGCCCATTGTGGGAAGTCTGCAAGCAGAATTTGAACACAACAGCAGTCGCCTCCCCTCCTGCACTTGCCAGCAGCTGTGGAGGCAGAGCACAGGGCCATCCTGGCTAGCAGCTGCCCACAGCCCTCTTGGCCATGAATTTGTGTAATCCTCTTCTAAAGCCATCCACTGCCTCCTGTGGGAGGGAGTTCCATAGTTCCATGCACTAGTGGGAGGCATTGGCAGGCTTGGGGGAAACTCCAAGGGTTACAGAAGTGCAAAAAGTAATCTAGAGGGGAAGTTCTAAGGGGAAGGGTTTCTCAGCCCCAAAAGACACCCCAGTGAGGACTGAGCATCCTCATTGGCCTGACAGTTGGGGAGGGGAAACAGGATAACAACATGGAGTGGCTGGAGTCCTGAACAGAAGCATTCAACACTGCAACATTCTGTTACAGGCCCCACTTGAATTATATCAGTTTTTCTTCGTTCTCCACTTTCAGGTATCATTCATGGAGATCTCAATGACCACAATATTCTAGTAGATACTGATTTTACTTCCCCTAAACGCTCACAGTACAGGGTGTCTGGTATTTTGGACTTTAGCGACATGAACTATGGCTGCTACGTGTTTGAAGTAGCGATACTCATCATGTACATGATGATTGAAAGCAAGGATCCCCTCAGCGTGGGAGGCCACGTTCTCGCAGGATATGAAAGCATCGTCCCACTGACGGAGGAGGAGCGAGATGCCCTGTTTCTCCTAGTGAGTGGGAGGTTTGCTCAGTCTCTCGTGATGGCTGCCTACACCACCCTCCTGCAGCCCGAGAACGAAGAGTACTTGATGACCACGTCCAAGACAGGATGGAAGCACTTGCTGCTGCTCTTTGAGATGGGCCAAAAGGCTGTGGAGATGATCTGGTTTAACACAGCAGAAGCATATGCCAAAAAGGGGCCTTCCTAAATGTTGGGTTACATGGTTATGGGCCGCTCAGATTTACAGTTTTAAAATGGGGCTCTGCCCAGATTAAAGTTCCAGATGTTATGATCAGGGAATCTAGAATACTGCTACCTGAATGAATTATGCCAATACTTATTTATCCTTTGTATAATTTCACTCTGCTTCCAAAATCTAGTTTTTCAAAGAATTTCAGATTTATTCCATTGGGCAGAGCCCACACACAGAGGCCTCTGGAATGTCTGACAAAAACTAATGCCTGTGTTTGCTTTTGTCCTCCTCCCCCCACAACCCCATTGCCTTTTGTGCCCTTGATTGTAAGCCTGTAGGCAGGGACCAGATTTTGGCTGATTGCTGTAAGCTGCTTTGGAAGCCTATTTTCATCTGAAGAGTGGGATGAAAATCACTTTAAATAAATATTTTTGGGAAAGCTTATTATTCTATTGCTGGACCTTTCCTTCAAATATCTGAAGGTACTTTGTAGCCCCGAGAGCTCCTGACTGATCCAAAGTCTTTGCTTCCATTTGCTGGGCAGAGCAGCTGGGGAAACACAACCAGATCAGTGGGGTAGAAATAATAAATTATTATTATTATTAATATTGAAGCTGAGTAGTGATCCCCACCCGAATTCCCTTCCCTGCATAGGGAAGTTTCTTATGTCTTCCTGTGTTTTAATTTGTTGCAAGCTGCCCAGAGTAGCTGGGGCAACCCAGTCATATGGGTGGCATATAATGAATATATTATTATTATTATTATTATTATTATTATTATTATTATTATTATTATTATTATTAATTTATTATTTATTATTATTATCTATCCTCCGTGTGTCAATAATAATAAGAAAAATAAGTTACAACAATATTTATACCAGCCTTTCCATTAAAAAGCTCAAGTACAACAATTTAAAACAAGATAAAACAATTTATTAATATGATTAGAGTACAGTGAAGGGTTGTTTGAAACATGGTGGCATTATTATAATTCAGTGTTACATTCATTTCCCATTTTTTCGCCAAATAGCTCCAAGTGGTGCACATACTTCTCCGCTGCTCTGTTTTATTCTCACAATGACCCTGTGAGGGAGGTTAGGCTGCGAGGCAGGGACTGGCCCAAGGCTGCCTGGTGGGTGCAGGTCCTTGCCTGGCAGTCTGCCCCAAGGGCTGGGCAGTCCCCCCGCCGCCCCCTGGGCTGCTTTCAGGAAGGGCGCCCAGGAGTTCTGGCGCTGCAGACGGACGGAGGGCAGAGCGCTGTCTGCACCTCAGCCTTCAAGGAGAGGGATTTTCTCCAAAGGTTGCATCTATATGCAGAAATTAACATATGCACATTTTGTGCACATTTGAGTTTTTTTGTTTTCCTTTGGGTGCTGGCACAAGGAAGCAGCCCGACTCTTACCCCAGACTCAGCTGCTTCCCCCCCAAAAAGTCCAAATATGAGCCACACCGCAGATGGGACACACTGGGACAACCAAGGAAAGGGAATTTGTATTTTCGAAGACATCAGAAGGGAAGTTTTTAATGTTTGGTGTTTTATTATGCTTTTATATGTGCTGGAAGCCATCCAGAGTGGCTGGGGCAACACAGTCAGGTGGGTGGGGTATAAATAATAAAGTAATATCATCATCATCATCAACATCATTTGGGTCAATAACAGGGCATATAAGATACAATATAGTACATTAAAAACACTCTTAAATACACCCGTAAATGTAGAATTAAAAGCAATATAAAATGTTCTTCGTATTTCGTATTAATTTACAAAATCCAAAGGGGGGGCAGCGGCCCCTCCCATCCTAGGAATCATCTGGCCCTTCGCTCCCCTCCGACCCGCCTCCTGGCCCCCGAGCGTCCCCTGACGCTTCCGTCTCTCTCTGGCGCAGCTCACGCAGGCGACGCTTCGGGCATGATGGGAGTTGTAGTCCACCCACGAGTCGCGAAGCGCGGAGAAGACCCAGGCGGGCGGTCTGGCCCTTCGTCTCTATGCCCGCCCCTCTTGCTCAGCAGTGCGCAGGCGCGCGGGGCCCGCCATCTTTCTCGCTTTCGGAAAGAAGCAGCGGCGGCGGCGGCGGCGGTGAGTGAGGCTGGCGGGGGCCGAGGGGCCGAGGGCAGCTCCGGGCGGCGGCGGGTCCTCGCGGCCCCTGGTGGCGGGGATCGGGGGGGGGCGAGGGGCCTTGGCCTGCAGGCTCCTCCGAGAGAGGCCGCCGCCCCTTCCCGGGATGACTCGGCAGGTTCCTCTGCCTGGGCCGCAGCCCGACCGGGGCAGCTCGGGGCGGGCAGGCAGGGATGGGTTGGGCTAGATGACCCCCAGGGGTCCCTTCCAGCTCGCCTCTCATTCCAGGAGTGGCTTTCTGGCAGACTGGAGCTCAACAGATGGAGCTGTAATGGAGCTTACATGTGGGCGGCCTGCCCTGCGAGGGAGCCAGGTGGAGAGGCAGCGGTTCTGCTGTTTCTTTGTCTGTACTCTAGATCCATTTGCTGTTATTTGAAACAGTGCAGTTTTGTGGAGGTCGGGGAATAACACCCGCCTCCCCCCCCCCCAAAAAAAATAGGAGCATTTTACCAGTTTCCCTTAATGTTTGTCTTTGAAGGGGAGAAGGATCTCTATCCTGTTTCTCTTCTAGGGGTGTTTCAGTTTAGAACACCATCCTTTTCCTTTGTCACCACCTGTGTTTCTCTGTGAGATCCTTTATGATTATGTACACACATTTGGACGTTAACTTTGCCGAGAATAACATTTCATACACCTAAAGCTTGAAGTGGTCTTGTGCCAATGTTAAGAAAATGTTTTAAAAGTGTGGGAAGAAAGGGATGTTGCTTAGGAAAATGCTTAGGCTTGTTGTTGGTTTTTTTAATTGACATATTAACGCTTGAATTGAACTTATACAACAACTTCACAAGCTCATCGAAGAAATCTGGGAGAGAAGATCCCAGAAGACGACAGGAATGCCAAAATTATCAATCTCTTTTAAAAAAGGTGATAGAATGGATCGTGGAAACTATCGAGGCATCTCTTTATTAACTGCGGCCGGCAAAATTTTTTGCAAGGATATTAGCAAACCATCTCTTAACAATATCTGAGGCTACCCTTCCTGAATCCCAAAATGGTTTTAGGCATTCTAGGGCAGGCATCCCCAAACTCGGCCCTCCAGATGTTTTTGGGACTACAACTGCCATCATTCCTAGCTAACAGGAGGGATGATGGGAATTGTAGTCCTAAAACATCTGAAGGGCCGAGTTTGGGGGTGCCTGTTCTAGGGGACAGTGGACATGATTTTCACCACTTGACAGCTTCAAGAAAAATGTGGAGAGGAAACCAACTCCTGTATATAGCGTTTATTGACCTGACTAAGGCCTTCAACACTGTAAATCATAATCCTTGTTTACAAAGCTATTGTACTACCAGCCTTACTGTATGCTTGTGAAACATGGGCCACTTATAAACACCATCTCCAACTCCTCAAAAGATTCCATCAGCGGTGTCTCCGAACATTTTTACACACTTGGGAAGACAGGCAAACTAATGCCAGTGTACTGGAAGAAGCAAATATCACCAGTGTCAAAGCAATGATTCTTCAACAGCAACTTTGTTCAACTGGTCATATTGTGCGGATGCCTGATTATCGTCTTCCAAAGCAACTACTCTATTCCGAACTTAAAAATGAAAAGCGTAATGCTGGTAGTCAATAAAAGAGACTCCCTCAAGGCAAATCTAAAACAATGTAGTATTAAACTGACAACTGGGAAACATTGGCCTGCGAGCGCTGCAAAGCCTTTACCAAAGGTGTTGTGGACTTTGAAGATGCTCGAACTCGGGACGAAAGGGAGAAACGTACTAAGAGGAAGGCACGCTTGGCAAACCCTCATCATGATCAGCTCCCACCCAGAAACCTATGTCCCCACCGTGGAAGGAGCGTGGATCCAGAATTCGCCTCCTCAGTCACAGACTCAATGTTAAAACGGTGTTCATGAAAAACAATCTTACTCGGCTACGAGTGATCACCAGAGAAGAAAGAAGAAGATATTCTCTAATTCTGTAGCTGCTTGGGGGCGGGGGCGGGTAATTCATAGTACAGTGGTAGCTTGGTTCTTGAACTTAGTCCGTTCCGGGAGTCCATTCGACTCCTGAAACCATTCGAAAACCAAGGTGCGGTTTCCGATTGGCTGCAGGAGCTTCCTGCACTCAAACGGAAGCCGATGTTGGGCTTCCGAAAAATGTTCGCAAACTGGAACACTTACTTTTGGGTTTGCGGCATTCGGGAGCCAAGCCTTTTGAGTACCAAGGTACCACTGTAAAAGCAGAACTTCCATATACCAGGGATTAAGGGAAGAGTTTCCAGGTCATGGTAGGCTGAGCATTTCTTCCCCTAGAAAATAATTACTGAATGTAGTTGGACAATATTCCCTTCTCTACTCATATATAAAAGCTTGTGCCATGGTGCTACAAAATCTAAATACCAGGTTGTGCAAGAACTTTTAATTTGGTTTACTGTAGGCAGGATAGCTCAGTTGGTAGAGAATGAGACTCTTAATCTCAGGATTGTGTGTTCAAGCCCCACGTTAGGCAAAATTTTATATATGGAAGTTTTATGATGGCCTATCCTTGTAATAAGGGACACGGGTGGCGCTGTGGGTTAAACCACAGAGCCTAGGACTTGCTGATCAGAAGGTCGGTGGTTTGAATCCCCGCAACAGGGTGAGATCCCGTTGCTCAGTCCCAGCTCCTGCAGTTCGAAAGCATGTCAAGTGCAAGTAGATAAATAGGTACCGCTCCAGCGGAAAAGTAAACAGCATTTCCGTGCATTGCTCTGGTTCGCCAGAAGTGGCTTAGTCATGCTGGCCACATGACCTGGAAGCTGTCCGTGGACAAACGCCGGCTCTATCTGCCAGTAAAGCGAGATGAGCGCCGCAATCCCAAAGTCGTCCGCGACTGGACTTAATGGTCAGGGGTCCCTTATACCGGTATTTGTAATGTCTATTAAAGGTTTGGCGAAGTAAGTAGATTCCTGCATTGCAAGGGGTTGGACTAGATGATCCTTGTGGTCCCTTCCAACTCTACAATTCTTTGATTCTATGATTCATCTGTTTCTAAAACAGTGTTTGGTAAGTGTGGGATGTCACTGGTATATGCAGTTAAAGCTGCCAGTTTTCTTACTGGTCCTGGCAGTCTTTCTCTCAGAAAAGTAGCAGATGAAGCTTTTCTTGGCATGGATGAATGGTAGGAATTTCCATGAGACAGGCTTGCTTGCTGTTAAGGGCTTTGCAGAACATTCAGGAAAACGTTGGCAATCCTATGTGTGATCCATCTAACACCCATTTGTTTTCTTTTGCAGCATACTACAGTCTACAAGCACCATGGTGAGTTTCTGTCCTGTTTCTGTGGAAGATGGGTATATTTTAGCAATGAGGGTGGGAGCAGTTTTCAGATTACATAATGTAAGAACAGGCTGCGGAATCACACCCGTGGCCTACCTAGTCTAGTATCCTGTTTTGACAGTAGCCAACCAGATGACTACGCAAAGCCTGCCAGTAGAG